GTTAATTGAGTTTGTAAAGGTAAAGGTCAATGAACACAAAGAAAATATTGACCCTTCATCACCAAGAGATTACATTGATGCTTTTCTCATAGAAATGGGAGAGGTGAGTAAAGTGCTCCTTGTCTGTTGTCTACATTTCTAATAAAATGTGTGATTTGTTGGCATGTAACACATTTTTGATCCTCTCTCACACTTATAGAAGGAGAACAAAGAATCTGGTTTTGATTTACAAAATCTGTGTTTTTGCGCTCTGGATCTTTTTGGTGCTGGAACTGAAACTACAACCACTACTTTACACTGGGGACTGCTTTACATGATCTACTACCCTGACATACAAGGTGTGTTTATGAATCACATCCACCTTTACTACATATTTTCTAATCAATTTGCCATCTCTTTATATTCTCAGGGGTCCCTAAGAGATCATATGTATTGTGAGAGGATGCGTGTAAGATGTGTAAACTTTCCCTGTAAGTCATCTATGCTGCACACAGACTCACATTGTTTCCTGTTTTCACTGTGCAGAGAGAGTCCAGGCTGAGATAGATGCTGTGATTGGTTCATCCAGACAGCCCTCTATGAGTGACAGAGAAAAAATGCCCTATACTGATGCTGTCGTTCATGAGATTCAGAGAATGGCCAACATCATCCCCCTCAATTTGGCTCACATGACAAGCAAAGACACCACACTGGATAACTATGCAATCCCAAAGGTATACAGTTCATATGTTATTTCCCAAGTGAGATTTTTGTCATTTTTTGAAATGACCTATCCTTTTATCAGATAATTAAGAATGTTTTTAGACAGATTAAATGTAATAATAATAATCAAAACCAAAAACATGCTGGGAATTTGGGTATTTCACTTAAAGTACTAAAAATCCTCCTTTATACGCCAACTCTAGAGGCGTATAAATATATAAATACATTATCTCAGGAACTTCTTTAAGTTTCTTGAAGATTTTTCACCTCTCATCTGAGAAGCTTCTGGTGGAGAGTCCCGGATTTAAGCCATATTAGGAATGTCCCTTAAGAGGGTCACTGGCCCACTATTGATCATCTGCCTAATCACATGAGCCAAAGGTCTGAAGTACACTAGGATGAGGTGTTTGGAGAAGTCTCTCCTGAGTTTCTCTGATAAAGGGATGATAGGAGATGACAGTGCTGACAATGCTATTCTGTTTTCCTTCTGTTTCTCCCTAGTTGATGTCTGACCTTTTTTACAGTATCTTTGCTGATTCGATAACCACATGCTTTAAGAGCGTTCGTTACATCTGTGTGCTCCTTCTCTCTCTCTTGTGGCTTGGAGGGAACATTTTCTGCCCCGTGTTGCAGGATCCTTCAAGAAACTTAGAGAAGTCCAGTCGCTTTTCCTTCCAAGTGCACTAGATTGCCATAACCTGGATGACTGACAACCTTCACAGACATAAATACATTATATTGTCAAAAGTAATTACTTACTCATCCAAATCACTAAATCAAGGTCTTCCTGGCACTTTAATGGCCACAGGTGTATAAAATCAAGCACCTTAGCATGCAGACTGCTACTACAAACATTTGTGAAAGACTGGGAGCTCTCAGGACCTCAGTGAATTCCAGCGTGGTACCGTGATAGGATGTCACCTGTGTAACAGGTCCAGTCATGAAATTTCCTCATTACTAAATATTCCACAGTCAACTGTTAGTGGTGTTATAACAAAGTGGAACCAATTGGGAACGACGGCAACACAGCCATGATCACATAGTGGGGGCCAGCAGATGCTGAGGCGCACAGAGCACAGAGGTCATCAAATTTCTGCAGAGTCAAACAATCAATCACTACAGACCTCCAAACTTCACGTGGTTTTCAGATTAGACCAAGAGCAGTGCACAGAGAACTTGATGGAATAGAGCTGCAGCTGCAATCTTGACATCACCAAGAGCAAAGGAAACCCAACAGATGCACGCTGCGAAAAGCACGCTGCCACTGGACTCCAAAGCAATGGATACGTGTTCTCTGGGTTTGTCAGGTGCCAGCATTGTGCCAAGTGTAAAGTTTGGTGGAGGGGGATTATGGTGTGGAGCTGTTTTTCAGGAGTTGAGCTCTCCCCCTTAGTTCCATTCAAAGGAACTCTTAATGCTTTAGCATACAAAGAAATTTTAGACAATTTCATGCTTCCAACATTGTGAGAACAGTTTGAGGTTGGATCCTTCCTGTTCCAACATGACTGTGCACCAGTGCACAAAGCAAAGCCCATAAAGACACAGATGAGCAAGTTTGATGTGGAAGAACTTGATTGGCCTGCACACAGTCTGACCTATAGATAGAAAGCCTTTGGGATGAATTAGAGCAGAGATGGCAGGCCAGGCCTTCTCATCCAACATCAGTGTCTGACCTCACAAATGTGCTTGTAGAAGAATGGTCAATAATTCCCATGAACACACCTTTAAACCTTCTGGAAAGTCTTCTGAGAAGTGTCCAAGCTGTTATAGCTGCAAAGGTTGGGCCAACATCATATTAAACTTTATGGATTAAAGATGAGATGTCACTCTACTGTAGCACAGGACGGCAAGTTCCAACATTCGAGGAGGGCTCAGAGTAGATTGCTACTCCTACCTGTCAAAAGAAGCCAGTTTAGGTGGTTCGGGTATCTGTAGGATCTGTAGTACTGAGTGATGTGTCTTAGGCATGCCCTGTCAGGAGAAGGCCTCGGGTAGACCCAGGACAGACTGTAGAGATTATGGATGGATGGATAATTGTGTAATGTAACACAATAATCCATTTAATAGCCCTGCTCTTTAGTTATAGGAATTAGCTTCTTCCATGAGCTGATTTTCCACCAACTAGCAAATTAACACAATTAACAATTGCACATTTTATTATTTTTGACATTTTTAAGTTTCTAAATTCTTGAGAATTCTTGATTCTGTCCAAAACTTTGTTTCAAAATTTGCATTGGAAACAAACTAGTAAAATCATTTACTTCAATTGTATTTTTTCAGGGTACCATAATCATAACTTTACTGCACTCGGTCCTGTGTGATGAATCGATGTGGGAAACTCCACACACCTTCAACCCTCAACATTTTCTGGACCAGGATGGTAAATTCAGGAAGAGAGAAGCCTTTATGCCTTTCGCTGCAGGTTAGTCAGTAGTTACTCCACATATCCTGTAACACAGTTGCATGTTTTTTATGGGTATGTGTTTACAGGGGCACTATAAAATGTTATAGCTTCGTGGAACACCAGAAAGGGTTCAGATAGGAAGCAAAACACCAGTTTTCCCACAAAGACTCTGATCTGTTGAAGACCTTCCCTGATTGAAGTGCATATGCATATGCAAATTTCATAGCATTAAACTTTAACCTGCCGGGTTCCTAGTACAAAAAGTGTGCATTTTTTTTTTGTGCTGGCACCCTTCTTTTAAATAAAGAAGAGTATTTCCAGTAATGTGTCCCGTTGTGTGCTACACATGAGATATGGAAAGTTTAGCCAGTGTCCTGAAATGCTTTTCCCAACATTTTACAGACTTCATGTGTGAAGAACTACAAAAATATCTGTGAATTAAGGTGAATGTCCTTGTGAATGAAATCACTCAACTTCTGGTGTATTCGTAGGTAAGCGTGTGTGTCTTGGGGAACAGCTGGCCAGGATGGAGTTATTCCTGTTCTTTACCTCCCTCCTCCAGAGATTTTCATTCACTGCACCTGCTGGAGAGCAGCCCAGTCTGGAGTTCAAGTTGGGAGTAGCTCGGGCCCCAAACCTTATCGCCTCTGTGCTGTACCACGATAAAGCAATAAATGGCACATAAAATGCCATGTTTCTTTGCATGTATCTTTATCTATCTCAAATTTGAGGGTATAGTTTATTCAGGAAGGAGGGCTTTCTGCAATCTAAAATATTCAAGTGTGCAAAAGTAAATAAAACAAACTCCTTAAAAGAAATCACTGGTATGCAATTTCCTGCAGTCGCTTCCTCTGCACATTGTCTTTGTAGTTAAAACGCGACGTCCTTGAATAAACTGTATGTTTCTCATTCAGACCGCTATTTGTTAAATTTCACACTGTGGTTTATTCTGAGGTTGGAAGTTGAAAAAAAAACACAACGTGCCGCTCTTTACTGTCGCTCTCTTAAAATCACTGTAGTTTAAAGATGATTATTAAAAAAAAAAAAAAGTTCTGTGGAGCATAAAGTTTATGTGAAAGAAAATGAAATGTCAATAAAAGGTTGAATCATTTAAAAATTTGTGTATTTTTTATTTATAGTATTTGTGTTAAGAATACCAAATTTTGTCATGTCACTTGTGAAAAGTAACACTTTCAGAGAGTTTCTGAATTTGAACCATGAACATGAAGGAGTATTAATTCTGAAAACTGCCTTAAACCTCAAGCCACCTTTATCTCACGAACATGCACCCCGTCAAACTTCTGGGTTTTCCCTGTAAACCGTTTGAAGTTACAGATGAAAATATCTTGTGAAAGAAAATCACAAAAGCCAAGATAGCTAGAGACTTTTAAACAGTTGAGGCTGAAGTACTTTGCGGGACTACAAACGCTAGCAAACGGGCTCAGTGAGAAAAGATGTTCGAGTGCAAATCGATTTCTCTAAAGAGTTCTCTGTAAGTTTCTTTTAAAATTTTTCTAAAACACATTTAAGATCCAGGATGTGTTTAATTTCCATGTCACTGAGCAGTTTTCTGTTATGTCATTTAAAAAAAAAAAATCTTTATAACCTTTATTATGTAAGTCTGTCCTTCAGCACATTTTGACTTATTGTGTCAAATAACCAAGTTGTCAGCGTGCTTTTCAAAGTAAAATGATTGATGTCACCGTGTCGCTTGCTCGGTTGACCACTGGATTATGTGACAGCAGCAGCATGTTTAATGAGAGCAGATGCTGAGAACACTGATGTTTCAAGTCAACAGAATCGTTGTGGTGATGAAAACAGGCAACAGAAGTAGGGCAACAAACTACTCAAAAAAAATGATCAAAGTTTCTGCATTTGCCAGAATACCACAAAACTAGGTCACTGGCCTCTTTAAGACATTTCACTCCCATGAAAGAGATCACTTTAGTCAGGTGCTCCTCACACAGCAAGTCGTCTGACGATCGATTCACAGCAAAAGCCTTTTTGGATGGTATCTTGATAAGAAAACCCAGACAGGATGGAGTTCTGGTGAGCGTTATCTCAATCTTTCGCCTATATGTCGAAAGTGATGGTATGTGCAGTCTTTGAGAGACAAAAACATACAGAGAAACACGTTACAGTCGTTGATCGCTAGGAGACTCTCCTTGTGGGATAATGCAGTTTTTTTTCTCTCCCTATTCCTGTCCTGTCTTTCAGGTTCTGCGTGCCGCAGGTGAGTAGCGATAAGGCTCGTTAGCCACCGGACCAAAACCAACGTGTCCCAACAGGCTGCTGGCAGCGAAAGAATTGAAAGTTAACATGCTTGACGTGAGGAAATACTTAATCTCAGTTCATCTCAGTTGTGTCAGCAGGATAGAACATTGACAGAAACGTGTTTTCTCTTATCTGCCACGGTGTTGTGACGCTTGTACTTGTTAATGTTATCAGCTTCAAGCTTGCACTGGAAAGAATGAGACATTCAGTTAAAAGCTCTTCCTCCGCCTCATGTTAGGCAGCTCACTCCAGTGCTCCCGCACGCAGATGACTGAGGTAGGCTTTGAAGATAATTTTGTGAAAGGAAATTTCTTTTAAGTGATTCGTAAGAAGTAAGAAATTTGTCATTTTTCATTTTGTTTCCTAAAAAAACAACCTGTTTTTCTTCTCTTCTCATTTCTTTGTTCTTACAGCTGCTGAAGGGGTTCTTCGGGATTCAGAAAATGAGCTGAGATGACTGTCTCCTCAGTCATTTCGAGATGTATTATTGTACTTCTTACTTTTTCTATCAATTGTGAGTGTACAGGTTCCAGCTATTTAAAAAAACACACCGCCATTACTCTGTTTCTGCTTACTGAGATCCCTTATCACACTTTGGTAGCTCTTGTGGTTTTGAATTGTAACCCTTGCTTCGGCTTTTACCACAACTTCAACCCAAGTGTTTCAGTAATTAAATTAGCAGATACATAGTCATGGAAAACACTTTTACTTTGTCTGTTCTTGGCATTCCTTCTTGCACAAAGAGGATTTTTGGGATCTCCACTCACACATTACAGCCAATGAATGTAATGATCCACTTGGTTTTTATAGTAAATGGGTTTTGCTATACATAAGGTATTTATTGGAATGGTCTAAAATTCACTTTCTCGACTAATGCTGTGGGGAAAACTTCATGCATTTGTCTTTTCCGGACAGACTTCCCTCTTCTGCCTGTTGGCTGCCAACGAGCGATGACTACCCGGTATACTGGGTACCTGGTTGTAGAGCCAGCTCCACTCTTTCTCATGGGCTCAAATCTGACGGTGTACTGCCACACCCATAAATGTGATTGGAGGTGAGAATCAGAACAATGCTACACAGTATTCTGCCATGCATGAAAATCTCCCTGCTGTGTTTGTAGCTATCAGCTTTATTGGCTCATATTTGATAACAGAAAATTAGTTTTTAGACTTCTTGTCCCTCTCCACCAGTTAGGAAATGATAATTAAAAGTTTTCTTTTTTACATGCAGAGCCAAGATATACATGGTGCTAAATGGCAAGCCTGTGGATAAATGGGAGAGAATCAACTGCACTACAGTGAAATTCTATCTGCCCAGCATATGGATCCCACTGTCTGCAGCGATCTGCAGTAATATATGCATAGCGTTGTGAATGGAGTGGATCTACGAGCTGGCCGTATGTACAGTTTACAGCAGCTGCAAAAGAAAATTTGTGTGCAAGTGCAAAAAATAGAAAGAGAGAGTAAGACACAAATTTACAACACTGCCTATAAAAGTGGCATAATAGTAAGAAAATGCAGTGGGGTTGTAGGTAAACTTGGTTTGCAGCAGGCTAAATAAATCACAATTGTTGTTTTTTTGTTTTCACTGCTGTCTGTTACGGCTGATGTTGAGCAGAACTTGGAGGCTTGGTTATTGGAACATAGTTTCTTTTTATTTATTAATTTTTCTTGTAGAAGCTAACCAAACAGTACAAAATAAAAATAAAAAAAGCAAAGTGAAAGGTAAACCCATGGGTACCTTGTAGTAATGGGAGCAGATGTGCTCAAACTTTAATTACTAAAATATATATTTTTAGGAGAAAGTATAAAATTATTGAAAATATGCATTTGCTAATATTTACACTTTGAAATTTGTTTATAGAAGTGACACAGAAAGCAAATGACTAGTTTTCATTTTCCAGCAAATGTAAAAACTAAGGTCTGTTTTTTTTTGTTTCAATCATGTGCTTTTAGTGCCTCCAGATAAACCTGACACTATAACATGTGAAACAGCAAAGAGCTCATCCTTAATAAACTGCTCGTGGACGAGGGGGCAGGAAACGTACCTCCCTACTCTCTACAACATTTCTGTAAACAGGTATGGTGTTATGTTTTTGTTTTGTATTTCTTGTTTATCCAAATCTCATGGTTTGATTTTTTAATGTTTTATTTTAGGGAAAATGGGAGTCAGATACGTCTATTTCAAATCCAGGATGCTGACAAAATCACCATACCACGAAGCATGTTTGATGAAAACACTACATACCTGATCATTATCACTGCTTCCAACCACTTTGGAACATCACAATCCGATCCAGTTGTCCTACGTGTGAAGGACATAGGTAAACCTGTGCTTCTGCAATACTTACACAGATCTTGAATTTGAATACTTGAATACTATTGAATGTTTTTTTTTTCACTTGTTAATTTCAGTCTTTCTCTTTTTTTTTTTATTAGAGTCATATGGTTTCTCGAGAAATGTGTCATCACCTGATGTATCATTTTTAGAAAGTTTTTTTTTTTATGGTCACAGTTTGACTAATTTGACCTTCTTATCAGCAAACTGTTTTTCTGTTGTGTAATATTTATTTGAAGAGAAATTTACCTACGCCCTCGGATGAGCTCTGTCACTATTTCAGTAAACTTTAATTGCCCAGAATTTCTGTGCCATTACAGAATATGTAGCTGTTTCTGTCTCTATCATTTGTGAGCACTATATTTGGTTTCCTTGTCTTGCAGTGATTCCCGATGCACCTATTATTATGCAGATACAGTTTCCGAGCAATTCCGTAGCAGCCACATTGCAATGGAAAAGCAATGAATCCTCAGTTTATCTCAGACCTCATGTCATGCTGCGCACAAACAACACTTCCTGGGTAAAGTTTTATTAACACTCCTCCAACGACACTGTGGGGGTTTTTACAGCAAAAGCCTTATCTGGCACCATGAAGTTGATCTAATCTCTCAATGTTTTTAGGAAATGAGAGCGGGCGTGGAACTCGGTAAGAATCTGATACGGGTAGATAATCTAACACATCTGACTGAGTATGAGTTCCAGATGAAAATATGCAACACAGCGCCTGTGCCGACACATACCAACGCAAGTAGTATTAGCGCCAGAAAAGCATTGCTTTGCAGCAAATGGAGCCCGTCTGTGAGGAAGAAAAGCCCTGGAAAAGGCAAGCTCACTGTTCTTGCTTATCATAAGACAGATGCAATGTAAATGTGATGATATAAGAATTTGTTGTTTCTAATTCATAGCCCACAACTTATTGTCTACCCTCCCTCAGGTCCATCCCAGCAGTTGCAAGTTTGGAGGAAGGTGAGAGGCAGGGGACAGACGGCCAGAGGAACATGACTGTTTTGTGGAAGGTAATAAGTTATGGCCACTCATGAGCCCTGGCTTTTGTTGTATGCTGACAATTATGAATCCCAAACATCCATCAAATACAAGAAATGTTTTTTATAATGCATCAGTTTGGTTATAACACAGAAAGCCTTCACTGCTGATTGGTTAAAAGGAATCATTTATCATTTTGTAAATTGCAACCACTTGATTTGCTGCGGAGACCTTTTTGTTGTGCATTTTACATGAAAGAAAAACTTTCTCTTGACAGCGACTTCCTGCACAATACCTGACCACAGAATAATCTAACACAAAGCCTGTCTTCTGGCAGCAGTAATTTCAATTTATACAGTAAAATGAAAGTGGTGTCAGACCTCTAATCTAACTTTTGGATAATAAGCAAGTAACTGTATTTCAGACTGGCAAACTATATTACTATATTACTAAAAATGAGTAATATAGGAGTGCAGGTAGAATTTCAATTTCATTTCAGTTCTAATTTTTTATCCATCACAGCAAAGTGCAAAGAAATATAACAGCCTCTTGGCTAACGCTAAACAAGGGACAATTGCAAACAGGAAATGCCATCCTCTGATCAGAGGTTTTACAGACACCAGCTAAATTATTTTACATAACACGCAACCCTAAAGAACTTAATCTGCAAATGACAAATGTAAATATTAAGTGATGACTGGATTTCTTTCCCAGCCTCTACCACGAGAGGATTTCAGTGGCAAGGTGATTGAGTATGACATCTTTCTGGATAATGGTCAGAAGCTTAAAACCTGTGCTGCCGAGTGCATCCAGTGTTCAGTTCAGCTACCAGCAGAGGTTAGCAGCCTGAGCATCAGTGCGGTCACCACATATGGAAAGTCGCCACCAGCTGATGTAATTCTCAGACAATCAGGTATAGCAATACTGCACACAGAAGATTAAACAAAAGTACGGTTAAGTTATGGAGAAAATGAAAACTAAATGTCCTCACTGTTCAGGTGTCCCTGGATCTCTTCTGATCAAATTTAGCCCTGCTGCTGATGGCAGTGCTGTGTTTGTTTCCTGGTCGTGGACAACAGGAAACTACCCATCGACACAGGAGGAAGAACTGCGGTATTACGTGATAGAAAGGACAATTGTATCTGGAGAAGGGCTGTGGTGGCAAAAGTTGGCCAAAGATCTAAACAGCACATCAATCACAGGTAGACTCACCACTGAGCCACTAGGGAATCTGGCTGTCCACATACGAACAGCAAAAATATTGCATCACATAATGCAAATTTAAATTTATGAAATGATATAAAGACACAGGGCTTTAAATGAGAGAAAACAGTGGCCTCTTGTGCCATTTGTTGTATTACACCAGCACAAGCACAGAATGCAGATATGGTCTTTATATACTTAGCTCTGTAATTGTGAACTAATCTCATATTTGCAAAATAAATAATATATTTTAATATAATGTAGTTTTTTTCTGGCTTTGCTTCAGGTTTGGCTCCAGGTGTGAGGTATAACATCTCTCTGTATGCTGTGACCACCAGAGGTGTCAGTGCTCCATCATCCATACTGCTTTACTCCAAAGAACAGAGTAACACTTCTTCAGATTCTTTTTTAAGAGAAGTTTATTTCTACATTTTTGAAGATTTTTTTTAAGCATGTGCTAGATTTGTGAATCTATACCTGGGCTTCAGGAAACCACTTACCGTACCCAACACATAGTCTTTGCATCACTGTGTGTTTCAGAGCCACTTTCTGGTCCAAACTCTCTGTGCTGGCCCACGAGGCCCGACGCATCCAGATCCAGTGGAAGGAGCTGCCGTATACCAGCAGAGGGGTTTCATCACAAAGTACAACATCTATTGCAAAACACCGGAATCCAAAGACAAAGAATTAAATAGTGAGTATCAAACTGTATATGCCAATTGATGGGATGGGCATTTTTTCACAATCAGCTGTTCGACGAAAAAAACATATATTAACTGATAAATTGAGAAACCGAAACAGACATTTATTGTAGCGGTAAGTGAAAATTGGGTAGGTTGTCTATAAACATTATCGGGTCACCTTATTTATCCTTTTAAGGCGGGTCCAAAATAAGTACCTGGCATGCTTTGGTGTGACAG